AATCTGTGCTAAGCCCTTAATCAAATGCCAAGCTCAGTAAATGGTAGCTACTCCTATCATCATCATCAGCATCACCATGACCATCTTTATTTCTCTAGCACTGAATAAAGTGGCATATTGTAGAAGCTTAAATATTTCCAAATACAAATTAAATGGTGTCCTGATTTTAGAACACAAAACAAATCTTAAAGATAAATTAGATTACTCCTAATTAACTTGAATTAAACTATTTCAAGCAAAGGCAACAAAAGTAGCAGTGAACTTCACTTGATTTTTACTTCTTCAGACTTGCTAGAAAAAATGGGAAAAGTAAAGCTCAAGCAAGTGACATTCATCTTTTTGATGATCTTTAGCGTCCTCTCTTTTCCCCACACAGAATACTCACTTGCCAGGCAATATTTCTGCTGTAAAAACCCAGAAGTAAACTGTTTAGCCAGCCAGGGATGCCAGTTATTCTTGTTCAGTACCGAATCGGTTGTTAGATTCAGTGCTTTGAGGCATGTATGACTGCTGCTGGCTAGGGTCAAGGGGTATCCTCATAAATTTAAAACTGTAATTCCTTACATTCTTCTACATAAAAGGCAGATCTCAGCAAAGAGATCAAAATAAAAGCCAAAAACTTCATATTTAAAGTAAGCTTGCATAAACATACAGGGGAAACATTACCTACACTGCTTAATGCATGAAAGAAAATTACTTGGATCACCCAAGACCATTAAACTTGTAAGGGATGTAAGGAGTTGGCAGAAATGGTGTTGAGCCATTTCATTTTAAAAAAGTAAAAGTAACACATTTCTCTTTTCCCATTTATTTGATCTGTCCTTTCAAAGACAGACTCTTAAGTAAAATGATTCTCTGAAGTTATCCTCTGGTTCTTTAAAAAAATAGAGTCGCAAAGGAGATGGAAAAAGGTTCCCTACTAAAACATAAACCCTGACACCACTTTCTGTGTGAATTCTAAGGTTAATTGTTAATCTTGACTCTTACTTAGTCATAACTTAGGTTTTGGTTAAACTGTACCCTCAATATCTGCTTCTTCCTGTATTGACTTTTCAGAGATAACAAGGGATTTGTGATAAACGCACATAACTTACCAAACCTTAATGATACATGATCTGAAAGTAGCTGACTTTATCAGGAGATGTGATTCCTGAAGTAAGGAACAGCATAACTTAATGAAGTAAGGAATCACAGCTGCAAATGCTTGACTATTGTATTCTTGTTGTTCTCAAATATAGGTTTTGTACAGTATGCTATAAACTATATTGACAAAACAATTTCATTTCCCACATTATGGGCAAAACCTTGCTTAACAAAAATGTTTGCTGGACCACATTTTTCATTTATTCTTACAATGACTCTTTGGGTTAACTCAAAATTGCCAGGTGGAAATAGCCACAATCATGGACACTAGCAGCTGAATGAAGGTGAGCCCAGGTATGGATCAATTAAGGAAGGTCAAAAGAAAAGAAAGCTCATACTCACTGATCTCTTACAGCTCTCTGCCTTTGTTCCCTGCATTCTTATCTGTTTCTGTAAATACTAAGGTACTTTGCCTATCAGGGGTGAAAAGAATCATTGTAAAGAACAGAACTTTTAGCTTTAACTCCTCTGCAGCCATATTTGGGTGCAGGGTGGGAAAACAGGAAGAGGCGTTGTTGAAAATGTAAGTCTTGCATCTCTCCTAAAAATAGTAATTATATAGTATCTGTTCTCTATGTCCCCTTGGAATCATCCATGATTACTCAACTGTCAGAGTCTCTAGGAATAAAGCCAATTTGCTATAACATATACACACAAAAGGAACTTTTAAACACATCTGACTCTTTTGAATTAGGATTTTATACTGTATTAATGAAAAGAAATTACATAAACATAAAAGAAAAATGGGGGAGGTGATGAGTAAGTTAGAACTGATGAAAAGATTTTTGCTCATTTATCCCTCACTAGTGACTGAGCACAGAGCTCAAAGAAGAAACTCTGCAGCTGCTCGAAGTGAGCCCACCTTCAAGGAACCCACATTCATTTCTAGGAGAGCCTCTCACAACATGGGCTCATAATTGTCTGCAATGGACTCTCTAAAAATGATCTCAGTAGATGAGGTTCCATTGCCTAAAAGGTAACTGTCATTAGGCTTTCTGCCAGCTGATGTGCTGGTGCCTATAGGATAATGGAGGAACATAAAGCATTTGGCAGCAGATTCGATGCTGTGAAAGTCACCTCTTCACGCCTATCCCATAACTTGCTTTGCACTGGCAAAGGTGACAATAGGGTTCCCTCTGTCCCTGCAGAACATAAGCTCCAAACTCTTTTAAGGTCCTCTGTACCTAATCAGAACCAACTTCTCCCAGGTTATTTTTAATCTCAATGTCTCAAGTGTAAGATGAGATATTTCCTCATGAATCCAGTCAGAAATTAATTAAACTAGTTAATTGACATTGTGGAAACCAAGGGAAAAAGATGAATAATTACATATTTTAACTGTTTAACAAGTATTTTCTGCATAATGTATACATCAGTCTAAATACCCTGAAGGCAATCTTAGTCTTATTTATAGGTCAAAGATACAACAGTTCTACTCTCCTCAACTTCATCTGATTGGCAACTGACATAAAATTTGCTAATTTTAGAGAAACAGAGGGTTTTTGCTTTTCATTATTTGTACTTCTATATTGTTTGAATTCTTCAGAAGATTACTTATGTAATTAAATGAACATTTTAAAAGCCTTTAAAATTAAAATTGTTTAAAAATAAAAATTTTAAGAGAACATTTGGAAGGATATCATTAACAGTGGTTGTTTATAGCTGTTAAGTCCATGGGTAACTTTCATGCTTTGTAATGTCATACAAAGCATAAGATACAAATTATCAATAATTTGCAAGTATGTTTATAGGATTGAGAAAAAAGAATAAAATGTTTGCAAAAGAAAATTTGAAGTTTCATGAAGAGGTATACGCAAACTTTCTTTAGTTTTTTTCCTACTTCTTAATAGGTTTCATATATAGTTTCTGTGTATCCATCCCATCAATGAAACCTATATTGACTCCTAATTTTCTAAACAACCTATACCATGTAATTTTCTTCCTCAAAAGTTCATTTCTAAAGCTTTCTAATTACAAGTCAGTAATTCTACTTTAATTTACCTTTGTGAATTACGGAGCTGAGTCAAAGAAAATAGAAACAAAAGCAATAATTAAGAATAGCAGAAAATTTCAAAATTGTCATCCTGCATCACTCACATTATCTAGGAGTCTAATGGGGGAAGAGGAATGAGATTTGGATACAAGCAATGGAAGGTGATAGAAGAAAGAATGTATAGGAGACAAGGAGAATAGAAATATGTATGTGGAGGAGGGGAGAAGATCATTCTGATTAAATTGCATGAAACTACCGTTTTCACAGATCAGAAAGTTTGGATATTGTTAACTTAATATGGTTCAATCAAATAATTGCAAAACTAAGGATAAGGGAAGGGATGAAAGAGTGAGAAGGAAATCAAGACAAGTTATTTAAGGCCCTCTCTCTACTTGACCCCTGCTTCAGTGTGTGATAGAACTGATGAGAATCTTTCAAATATCTCACAAAGAATTCCACTCTTCACATGTCCAATTATATGTCAGTGATCTGAGAAGAAGGAAGAGGTGAATGTTTCACATATTTACCTTCAAGATGGGAGCCATAAAGACTGACAGACCAGTCAGAATAAACACAAGGGTTCCAGTGACTCTTTGTTCCCTGAAACCAAATCAGAAGATTACCAATCTACCTCTTGTCTTCATAAACATGCTCTTGTCTTTTCACTTTCAAAAAAAAACTACACATTGACAAAATCAATGTTTGGGTAAAACAACAAAGGTGTTGATATTATGTAATTAATACCTCAAGGATAGTATATAAACTCAATGTAACTATAAAAAAATCTCTTAAGGTGACTCCAATATGTGATTTGAATTCATGAAGAAAGAAGTACTCCTGCTAAATCTTTTGCTCCTTTTAGAATCAAAGAAAAATCACTTGCTCTTGGTCCATCAATTACTGGCCTCTTTGAAGACCTGATTTTTTAAAGCAATTTATCCACTTGTGTAATTACCCTTACACCTTCTTTTATAGGAGACAGATATAACATTGTCCTATATTCTAATTAACAAACAGCTCAAGGAAATTTCATTAGCACAATAAATCACATCAGTCTAATTTCCAAATCTACAACAATAAAAGTACTTTTCAACAAATATAATTCCCATCATACACCCCTCCCCCACCCACTGTTTTGGCAAGGGATACAATGGCTCTGTCATGTGAGCTCTCTACCCAAGCACTTAAGAGCAGAGTTTGCTGTAAAAAGTACTTAACAGAGTATAAAAACCTTCTACTTCTTCCCTTCATATCTACCCAAATCGAACAGCTGGAGGTTAAAGTTTCTCAGTGTTTATGGGGACAGAAAAAGAATTGGAAAATAAGAATGCCTTTCCCTTTACAGAATCTTAAAAGTCATAAGCAGACTCAAGAGTTTTAGGGCCGTCACATGTGATTGTGATAGAGTCAACACTGCAGCACCAAAATCACCCGCATGTTGAAGAAAAAAATGATCTGGTTGTGGTTTTACATGGCAACGTTTAGCCTTTTGGAAATCAATGAAAATCATATATCATAAGGAGTAAACTGAAAAAGATCACTGAAAACTCTGATGAAAATTTAGTCCTTTCTGGAACAAAAAATATAAGAATGAATTAATCATCACAAGCCCTATCTCCTCTAAATCTGCCCATTTCCTTATGATTGCCACATAAACGTGTGCACAATATGTTTTGAAGAGCCATTTTCCTCTGAGTTAACACACCTCACTCCTAGAAACTTTGGTTGTTCTCCAGGTGCAGAAGTCTCTGTCTCCATCTTCAAACTGTCGATGTGAGCAATGGAGATGACTGTAGCAGCTACATACCACGGGAGAGCCATGAAGGAGCATATCACCATGAGGATGGCCACCCAAAAGAGATCCAAGTGATAACCCGCTCCTTTCTGTGGAAAGAGATAACAAAACCATGTGGAGAAAAGACTCATATTTGCTATCTAGTCATTTCCAGAAGGGAATTAAGATTAGCAAAGGAAATGGACTCACTTTGCTTGGTAAGTTAAACTCCTTGAAGGAGGAGACTGTATCTTGTTTATATTATTCCCCTTAGCAATTAAACATACAGCTGCCTCTGACAGCTGCTTTGGTAGACACCTTCTCTACTGTAACAATGAATCATTGTTTAAGAGGTAAGTCAAAGCTACACTTACTATTTGTTTATCTTTAATCTCTCTACATACAATTTTCTAATGAGAACAATGGAAAGATATGCCCACTCCATAGAGGAACTGAGATCTTTCAATGATGTAACACAGGCAAAGCATCTTATAACAATTTAAACCGTAGTAGTTGTTAATGTCACAGGTGCTTAGTAAACAGTGATAGTGGCAGTAGTGGTACTGGTTGTTGTTGTTCAGATAGTCATAATAAGCACCTTGAAAGCAGTCACCCTGCCTTCTCTGCGGGACAGTGCTGAGTAGTACGCTGTTCATCTAGACAGTACTTACTTTATGTAAGGATCCGAAAGCAACGTTGAGAAGGTATGTGGGCCATTTCTCAGCTTTCATAACATACAAAAGTAAATGTTTAACAGTCTATTACACATCATCATTAAGGTAATAAACACTCCCTTAATCAGAATAGGCCGATTTCAAACATTGCCCAATGGTCACAATAACATTTGCTGACTGGAAGAGCAGACAATGTAACAAAAGGTCTAGCTCTTTTACTCATTAAATAAATATTGTTAAATGTGTCCGCAATGTTATTCTATGGTTATATTTCTCTGCTTTATTTATGAAGAAATCAAATACTTGATACCCCTATGGAGCCTGAGAAAATAGAGCAGTCCATTTTCACAGCATGGAAGCAGCAGTACCAAGAGTATGACCAATCCAAGGAATAAAGAGGTTGGTTTTAAACAACGAGGATATGATTTACACTAGGAACCTGGTGACTGTTATCATTCAGCTCTTGTTACAGTTCCTCGCAACACTGCTCTCCTCTCATTGAAATGCCAAGATTTCACCCCTGGTTCGCACACATGGATCTAATCATGTTCTAAGAACTCATCACAGGCAAGGGGAGTTGGTACAAGAAAGAAAAGCATGTATTCACTTAGTCCAGGCTTGGCTAAGAACAAAAATCAACTTGGGATTATGAATAGATATAGGCTAATATACATTCATAAAACCAGTTCTTTTCAGGAAGACATAATAGTTTGAATTCAGAGTGGTGTAAGGCAGACGAAAAGAGGGCAGAGGTGGGATGAGCTGAAATAAACTTGTTCAATAATGACTAATGGGATTAATACCATGATATATCTGAGATTTCATTCTTTCTTGAATATTGACTGCCAACTTAGGACCATGCTGGTGACACATCTGTGAATAAAACAGACAAAAAAATCCTGCCCTCATGGAGTTTCCATTCTACTGAGGGAGACAACAATGAATAATATAAATAAATAAAATATACAGCTTCTCACATAGTAATAAGTACTAAGGAGAACTGTCGGTCCCTAGGTTTGTATAATGAGTATAATGGGAACCACTGGAGGGTTTGAAATGGAGGAGAGTCATGGTTTGCTTATGTTCTAAACACTCTGGCTGCTGTGTTAGGAGCAGATTGAATGAGTAAAGGATAGTAAGACTACATAACCAGTGGAATAAATTGTGATGATTACAACCAGAGTGGTGGCAGTGAAGATGATAAGAAGTGGTTGGGTTCTGGCTCTACCTTAAGGTGGAGCCTACAGAATTTTCTCCCTCCTGCCTGTTCGTATGTCTATGACCCTGCTTTGGGGCATTCATGATCTGGCTTCTGTTCACATCTGCAGCCTCATCTTTTACCTGGATCCTATGCCACCACCACCTTCAACCACATGCAATGCCTCATATGTGTTTCTTTCACTAACACCTTTTGTGTCTTTGCCCACATAGCCTCTTCTACCCGGAATAACCTCTACTCTTCTTTTGTTCTTTCTCTGGCTCAGTCCTCTTTATCCTTAAGACTTAAATTAGCCTTCACCTTTTCTGGTAGGGTTTCCTGCCTCAACCTAGGTGAGATAGGTAAGTCAAGTTAGGTTAGATCTCCTCCTTTATGTTTCCCTGTTTTTCATTTTATGCCTTCCTCTATCACAGCATTCATCACACTAATTCTGAAATTATATATGTATTCATCTGTCTTTAACTGTAGACTATAAGTAACATGAAGACCCGGACAGGATCTTTTTTTCTCTGTATTCTGAATACCTTAGCAGAGTGCATGATGTACAGCCAATTCTCAATTAGTGTTTATTTCTAGAAAAGGACAAATAACATTCATATACTCCCCTTACTGGTAATTATAAACTCTTATTTAGCCCTGAAAAAAATGCAAAACTTTGTTAATTAGTAGACATTAACTAATTAACATTGTGGAGAGGGGAAAAAAGGAGAAAAATAGCTGGAGACATCACAGAATTTTCAAGCCCTCTTTAGACTAAATCACTCAAGTTCATATTAGAAGTACCAGCAGGGTAACTAATGAGCATAATCCCCAAATCTTGTTACCAAAAAACCTGTAGGAACCTAAGGATGTGCACACCAGCCAGATGAATGGGTCAAAAGAATAGGTGATGTAAAAAAAAAGTCACCCATGTTACCCTGAGTCATCTGGATGCTTTCTGGATCTATTTCAGCTAAAACAAATTTGAGTTAGATATGCTGAAGATTAGCAAAAAGGGGCCATATGAAAGAGGGTGAACTAAAGATTTTAGATGACAGACTCTAAAGGTAACTATATATAACCATCAAAATAAAAAAAACAGTTCTGGGATAAAATAGTTATAGATACATAAGTACTCTCTGTTCCCTTGACATTGTTCCTTCCAAAAAGTCTTCCTTCTCCTCAGCTACACTGGCCTAAGGGAAGGGAAAATCACCAATGTGACCAGAAGGCCCTACCTGGTCTGCCCCTACCTCCTCTCCAACCTCAACTCTCCCTCTCTCACTGCAGCCACAAAGGATTGTTTCAATCACTTGTTCTCACCAGGTACCTCCTTTTGTAAGGCTTAGGCACACAGTGATTCCTTTGGGTGCCTGAAATAGTATTCCCATCCAGCCTCATTTAGCTAATTCTTGCTAACAATTTAGGTCCCAATGTAAGTGCCATCACATTGGGGAACTCCCTGCACCTCATGGACTAAGTCAAACCCTCTCAATATACTATTTCCTTCTCCTTCATGACACCAGCCACATTTGCAGTGTCACATTCTGCATAATTATGTGAATTGTGCCTCTCTCTCTCTCTCATAGCTCCATGAGGACAGGAACCATGTATGCTTTTGTTCACCACCAAAATAGCACCTGGCACAGTGCCTGCCACAGAGTGGATACTTTAGATAAATGTTTGATGAATAAATGAATAAATGCTAACTCGTTCATTCAGTGGCACTCTGTCAGACCACAGAAGAAAAACTAAAGATAATACACTGCCCTTGCCCTCCAGTGGTTTACTGCAATAGTAGCACTGGTCAAGACAACAGGTGTTTGTAAAACCGCAGTGTTAAAGGTCTACAGTAAGGCTGAATTCAGGGCATTAAGAAAGCATCCTGGAGGGATACCCAACTCAGCACAAAGTCAGGGATGGTTTGCATGGGGTGTGGTATTTAGGTTGAGTTCTAAAATATGAGCCCTAACCAGCTCGGAGATAAAAAGTCGGTGAAAAACTATGCAAAGAGAGTTGCCATTCTGAGAAAATGAAATAGATTTGGAGCACAGGAGATGGGGGAGGTAGAAAATTAGTCTGGAGAAGTTAAGAACTTTTGTATTTTGCTAAAGGCTTTGGAAGTTCTTATCACAGGAGCAATGGGAAGTCATGGGAGGGTTTTAGGCAGGTGAGTGATATGATCAGATTTTTATTTAGAAGGACGGCTCTGTTGAACTGCAAATGATATCTTGGGAGTGGTCAGGATTAGAGGCAGAGGACAGACATGAGAACACTGTCATAATACAGGCTTGAGACGATGCAGCTTAAGCCGAAGGAACACTGGGGAGAGTTTAAGGAGACCAAGACCAAAGAGGAAAAACTGATAAATTTATTTTGTCAGATTGCAACATGCAAGGTTTACCATGTCTAGTACAGTGTCTGACACACAGTAAACTCTAGAATACCTTTGTGGAACGGAATGGTAGAAGCTATGCTTCAAATTCATGTTGCCCCTGGCTATTGCCATGAGACCCAAGAACCCAAATGGTTATGTCAAAGAAGTTATTTCTGCAAACACCTATATATGTACAAAAACAAGCCACTTCTAAGATGTCCCTTTGAGTTAAAAGTATCTGAATGACTAGATTTGAATGGAATAAAAATAATATTCAAATACTGGTCCTTTTTATATAAAGAATACTGCAAGAAATATGGAAAACAGTATTTTTCAAAAATAACACATGGAACTTTTTATCTGTTCTGTACTCCTCCTCCCCACTGCCATTACCTTTTTCAGATTCTCATTCTTTCTCTCCTGGATTATACAGCAGCCTCTTCCCACCCACCTTCCCCTTCCACTGAGCTCCCCCACCCACCTCCACTCTTGCTCCTCTCCCGTCCATCCTCACTGCTGCCAGACACAGTGTTTAAATGCAATTCTGACCCCATCAAGTCCAAGCTGGATGTTGCTGAGAAGGGGAAGCCACAGGCAGATGAGAAGGCTGAGCAATACAAAGCCATACCGAGGCTCCTGCATCTAAAACTGAGGAGGCCCTCGCCCTCAAAAACTCCAGAAGCTCTCCCAATCCCTAAATATGCCTTACACATTCCCTGCTCCTGTACTTTCTAGGTGCCACTCTTTGAAGTGGTATTCTGCTTCTACTCCTTGACATTTGTTAAAAGCCATTCACTACCTTCAATGCTCCATGCAAAAATTCCCCTTCTTCCTTCACACCATCCAGCAACCAACCTGCAGCCCTCAATGCTGCTCTCACCACAAATGTCCCTGTTTTTCTCTTGTCCCTGACAACCCACTCTCCTCACGAACTAATCTTTTTTAAAAATCAAAATCATTATATGCCAT